CCCAGACCCGTTGCTCTCTGGTTGATGTACCACACAGCTGTTTGTTCATCGATCTCTCTCTACACGTCTACAAAGGTCCGCCGCACTGCCTCCCCTCCATCTGCACGGGTCGTATGGTGGCTTCCTGCCCTCCTGTGCCTGTGAATGGGTATCCACGGTTTCGGTGCATAATGTGTGTGTGATTTTGTGCAGGGTCCTGTTCGCTCGGATTTCCACATCTGTGACTGGTGTCCGGCCGTCATCCCCGATGATGGCAACCCAAACGAGGGGCGGTGCCATCCGCAGATCTCGGTGCTTGACATCAACAAGCCCATGCTGTTGGTCTTCAGAAAAAAAGTCGATTGGGAGACAACCGAGAGCGAACGAGACCTCCCGAGAGTGGGTACTACTGGCTGATTTCCGCTGTGCACGATAAAGCCACCGGATGGACAACCTTCACTCTCGGATTCGACTGCGATGACAGCATCTAGGAGATTTATGAGGCCGCTCGCGTGGCGGCGGATACAAGCCAACCCAGTCAAAAATTGAACCCAGTCCTGCTGCTCCTGCTGCTGCACGCGACCCTGCACGGGAGAGTGCTGATATCAGTGATGTCGGAGAGCCCAAGCTGCTCGGAGGATACTCACTATACCACGCACGGGCCGTCGACAGGCTGAGGGAAAACAGCACACTCACTCAATCATATATCTCCCCCTCACCCTCTCCCCAATGACGCTCTCCTTTTATCAACAGTCGAACTGTGCCTCGTCTGAGACCCTAGCCGTTCGCACAGGTCTCAGTATTGTCAGCTGCACATTTACCGGTCTCGGTTTGTCGGTTTGTCCCTGCAGGCGGTCCTACACTCAAACGATGAACTGCCGCCATACCACATCAGCACACCTCGACACAAAGAACCCCAAAAAGGACCTACCCATGCTATCCGTTTCATTTGGCGACTTCGACGCTGAGATGTACGACCTTAACCTGTACTCCCTCAACCTGTTATTGCAGGTACCACACATACACCCATACCCACCTGCAAGAACCTCGCCCTCGCTCACTGCACTTACGCTGACGTCGCTTCCTACAGTTGCCGCCGGAATTCCTCTCCTTCTTCAGGCACGTCGACGATGTTACAAGTATGCTGCCATGAGATGCATGTCTCTTTGTCTGTTCTGTGTCTATTAGGCTTAGCGTCTTCGCTGACCTGGGACGGCCTTGTGGAGATGTGTCAGCTGTTCAGCGACTCGCTGACTCACTGCACGTGGCGTGTGCCGGTGTTCTCAGGTTGACTTTATTTCGCTTACCCCGCGGTGTGCCTTGAGATCAGCTTCCCATCGACAAGCTTCCCGGCACCGGCAGCAATGACGTATTGTACATCGGCAAATCGGCGAATCCCAGCGTCAATATGGTCAATATGGCCAGTCGGTTGCTGTACTTGAAGTATGGCAAGCAGTTGCGGGCAAAAAGCTGCTATGCCTACATTGAGATGGCGGGGCTTTCGAAGATGACTATATCATTCCACTTGACTTGCTCCAAGAGGGGTCTGCGGGACGACAGCCGCTTGAGCCGCGGGAAGAATCTGAAGTGGGTAAACTGGACCGGCCAAGGACGCGACGGACCCGTCGAAGCAGCCAGAGCCCTTTGCAGGTGAGCAACTCAACAAGACAAAAGATCGGCACGCACTGGAAAAGGGCGGAGGAGCGCTAGAACAGACCGGCATGAATGCAGCAACTTCCATGACACGCCCTGTTTGCGCATGTATCCAGCTCACGCTAGCATTGCGGAAGTTGCACCTGCTCCCCGGGCTTTATTTATTGGTGACTTTCACTTCTACGATCTATGCTGGGTCCTCAGCAGGATTATCCGTTCGGCACGAAAACCAGCCGTCGTGCCGCGGCCAAGCGCGGGAGGGATGTCGTGGAAATCGCCGTCCTTCGTCGTTTGTCCAGGGTCGACGGTCACTTTAAGGCTGATGCCGAAATTTTGCGACAAGGCATTGAGGAACCCCTCAAAATACGGCTTGAGCAGAGGACTATAGGACCGGCTTGCGAACGACTGCTTGCCCACATGTGGAACGACTGCCTGAGCGACGACCCCCGCAGGCCCATGTATATGGACGGGTATGCTGTAGACGAGCGAAAGGCATACCGACGTGTGCCTGCACGTGTGGCTGTGTGTCTTCTCTATCTCTGTCCGCCACAGAGAGGCCGTCAACTATCGAGGGACAGGCGTCTTCATTACCAAGAAGGTCAACGTGCGCAGTACCAGCCAAGTCGAGGGCTACCACCCGAGCATGCGAGGCCCCTATCACGGTTGGCGGCTCAGCGCCGCCTCTGTCAGCTGCCCATCAGACTCACCCGGGCGGACCTGCAGAAGCACTTCACCAAGCAGGTATATATGTTCGTGCCTGTGCTGTGAGGGACGTGCGAGAAAGGAAGGAGAGGGAGGGAGGGAGGGAGGAAAGGGGAACATCATATATTGGCCGGGACGTGGAGGGCTTCAATCTGCTTGGGGTGGGGGTGGTCTGTCTGTCTGTCTGTCAGGCTTCTTCGCCTCTTCCCCGTGCGCTGGCCCAGTGAGGAGTGGTCGGTCCCCATGTCGCCTTCCCTGACGGTGCCGGGACATTCGAGCTGTTCGACGGGCCGCCGGGCGCTGTGCGTGCCATTCGAGATGAGTCGGCCTTCGACATCCACCTGTCGCTCCCCTTCCCCCCCTCCCACTCCCCCCTCCCCCCT